CCCTGCACCACGGCCCCCTCGAAGTGCCGTGGGTCTAGCCCCTCCTGGAACACCCGCACGCGCAACGCTTCTGGCCAGTCAGGTAGTTTCGCCGCCAAACGCTTGAACTCCAGCACCTACTCGGTCACCGAGCGAGGCCCCTGCTTCAGCTCCCGGATTGCCTCCGCTGCGTGAGAGCGGGCACATTGGTCCTCGAATCGGTCCCGTAGGGCGGTGATGAAGCGGTCAAAGTCCACCAGTTCTGGGGCCTCCGCTTCATTCAAATCGTTCACCCACTCAGCTGCCACGCCTACCAGGAAGCGGGACATATACAGCATCCTCCAGGCATCGCTGGCAAACAGGCGCCCGCACGTGCCCATGCAGATTCTCACCTGGCTCAGGAAGGCGGGCAGTTGGGCAGGGTCTCCTTCGTACTTTTCTACTAGCCCCCATCTTCGCAATAGGTCCCCTTCTGCCTGTTGAGGTCGTGGGGCGGCTTGCTCCTGGTCCGCTCCCCCGCCGCGTCCTGTGGGGGGTTGGACCGGAGGCCAATGAGGGGGAAGGGTCGGTGGTTCTAGCGGAGCCATTAGGAAGGGCTGGTCGAGAGGCGCCGGCCCCTATATGGGTTTGGGAGGTTGCACGGAAGGTTGTGCCAGAATCCTCAGCTTGCCCAATTCCTCCCTCAGTGTGCACACTTCGCCTTCCAGCTTCCTCACCCGTTGTCCCTCATCCCATGGCGTTGCCACTTTGGTCGCGGTCCCCATGGCCCTCGACCACCGAGGTTGGGCTGGCACCTCTGGGGTGAATCCTCTGGCGTCTTCCCAGATGCTCAGGTCTCTCGGTGGGTCCCAGCGATGGCCAGTCGCCTTGTTGGGGTCTTCGGTCTGGCGCCTGCTAGCGCTTCAGTGAGGGGGATTTGCTGTTCCTCCTCTGCTGCTAGTGCCTCCGGTGAACTTTTCTGCAGCTCCTCAGAGGCCATGCTAAGTTGCTGCAAATTCCTCGTAGAGTTTCCTCTCGGGTGAAATCCAGTATCAGGGAGTTTTATCAAAATGTCAAGTCCACGATGTCCAACTCCCAGTTCTGAAGCATTCTCACGCAACCAGGCTTGGTTCAGACAAATACTGCACTTCTTTATTAAGGGGTACATGTAGCTTTTTAACAGAAC